CTTCATAAATCTGACAGGCAAACTATTCCTTGCTCTCCTGGTTTGCTTATAGAATCAGCCTTTGTATCTAAATCATATACCCATTTTGACTTTATCTTGGTATAGGATGTAAGATATTGGTCTATGCCTAGTTTCTGCCATATTCTTTTACAGTTTTTCCAACAGTTTTTGTGGAATAGTGATTTCTTATCCCAGAAGCTGGAGTCTTTGGGTTTTTCAAACAGTAATTGCTATAGTCATTGACTACTGTGTCTTGTGTACCTAACCTATTCCACTGATCCACCGCTCTTTTTCTTAGCCAGTACCAAGTAGTTTGATGATTGCTGCTTTATAATACAATTTAAGATCTGGTAGGGCTAGGTCACCTCCCCTTGCATTTCTTTTCATTAATTCCCTTGATATTCTGGACCTTTTGTTCTTCCAGATGAATTTTGTTATTATTTTTTCTAGCTCTATAAAATAATTTTTGGTAGTTTGATTGATATGGCACTATATAAGTAAATTAATTTAGGTAGAATTGTCATTTTTATTATATTAGCTCAGCCTACTCATGAGCAACTGATATTTTTCCAATTATTTAAATCTAACTTTATAATTGTGTGAAAAGTGTTTTGTAGTGTTCTTATAGTTCCTGGGTTTCTCTTGGTAGGTAGATTCCCAAATATTTTATGTTGTCTACAGTTAACTTTAAATGGAATTTCTCTTTCTCTCTCTTGCTGCTGGGCTTTGTTAGTAATATATAGAAATGCCAATGATTTATGTGGGTTTATTTTATATCCTGCAACTTTGCTAAAGTTATTAATTATTTCAATAGCTTTAGGATTCTCTAACTATACCAACATATCATCTGTGATAGCTTTATTTCTTCATTGCCTATTCTAATTCCTTAAATTTCTTTTTCTCTTATTGGTAAAGCTGATGTTTATAGTACAATATTGAATAACAGTGGTGATAATGGGCATCCTTATTTCACCCCTGATCTTATTGGAAATGCTTCTAGCTTATCTCCATTACATATAATGCTTGCTGATGTTTTTAGATAGATACTATTTATCATTTTAAGGAAAATTCCATTTATTTCTATGCTCTTAATAGGAATGGGTGCTGTATTTTGTCAAAACCTTTTTCTGCATCTATTGAGATAAGCATATGATTTCTGTTAATTTTGTTATTGATGTGGTCAATCATGCTCATAGTTTTCCTGATATTGAACCAGCCGCATTCCTGGTATAAATCCCATCTGGTCATACTGTATTATCCTCGTGAGTCCCTTCACTTTTCTGGGCTTCAGTTTCCTCACCTGTAAACTAAGGTGCTTGGACCGTATAATATGTAAGACCAATATATATGTAGCCAATATGGAATTTTGTTTTGTTTTACCATGGATATTTGTTATAAGGATTTTGTTTATCTTTTTTCCTAGAGGGCAAGGGTGGTGTGGAGGGAGTGGGAAGACAGGGAGAGAGAAAAAAAATAAATGCTTTATAAATGAAAAAATTTAATTTAAAAAACAAATTTAAAGTGTTATGTAAAGGACAATAGAGGATAAGAACTAGATCTATCAATGATATAGGGAACTCCCAAATGAGGAAATTCCCTCTACTAATGCAAGTTGGCATTTTCACTATACACATACATACACACATATGTATATGTGTGTGTATATATGTGTATATACATATGTATATGTATATACATATATAGTGGAAAAGTATTTTTATATGTATATTATATATATAGTGAAAAAGAGTATTTTTGTTTGCATCTTGAGTACAAAGATCAAATCTAAGAAACAATAAATAATTTCATTAAAGAGAATGATAACAATGAGGCAACATAACACAATTTACAGAATGTAGCCAAAGCAGTACTTAGGGGAAATTTTATATCTCTAAATGCTTACATCAATAAAGAAGAAAAAGCAGATCAGTGAATTGGCATGTAACTAAAAAAAAAAAGAAAAAGAAAACTAGAGAAGAACAAATTTAAAATCCCCAATTAAGGACCTGAGCTCAAATCTGGCCTCAGACACTTGACACTTACTAGCTGTGTGACCCCGGGCAAGTCACTTAACGCCAATTGCCTCACCAAAAAAAAAGGCAAAAAATAATTCCCAGATTAAACACCAAATTGGAAATCCTGAAAATCAAAGGAAAGATTAATAAAATTGAAAGTAAGAATGCCGTTGAACTGATAAATAAAACTAGGAGCTGATTTTATGACAAAACTAATAAAATAGATAAACCATTGGTTAGTTTGATTAAAAAAAAGAAGACCAAATAATAGTATAAAAAATGAAAAGGATGTTTTTACCGCTAATGAAGATGAAATTAAAGCAACTATTAGGAACTATTTTGCAAAATGATATGCTAATAAATAAAGCAATCTAAGTGAAATGGATAAATATTTGCAAAAAAAATAAATTGCCGGATTAACAGAAGAGAAAATAGAAGAAAAAATTCAAAGGACCAGATGGATTTACAAGTGAATTCTACCAAACATTTAAAGAACAATCAATTCTAATACTATATAAACTATTTGGAAAAGCAGACAAAGGAGTCCTACCAAATTCTTTTCATGACACAAATATGGCACTGATACCTAACACAGAGCAAAAATAGAAAACTGTATGCCAATTTTCCTAATGAATATTGATGCAAAAATTTTAAATAAAATACTAGCAAGGAGATTGCAGCAATCTATTACAAAGATCACATGCTATAACCAGATGGGTTTTATACCAGGAATGCAGGGCTTATTCAATATTAGGAAAACTATCAGCATAATTGATCATATCCATAACACAAAAAACAAAAACCATATGATTATTTCAATAGATGCAGAAAAAGCTTCTGACAAATACAACACTCATTCCTATTAGAAATACTAGAAAGCATAGGAATAAATGGAGTTTTCCTTTAAATGATAAGTAATATCTAAAACTATCAGCAAGCATTTTCTGTAATGGGGAAAAGCTAGAAGCCTTCCCAATGTGATATATAAAAAGTTCAAGAGACATTGCTAGCATATTATTAATTAAAGGATGATCATTTGGCCATCTCTCTTAGACCAGATACCCCTCATGGGACCCATTCAAAGCTGATATGCCCTTGGTGTTTCTGAGGGTGGAAATCAACTCTGATTGGTTAACAATTAATAAGAGAATGACTATTATAATGAGAGGTGGACCTATTCTAATTAGGGTCTGTGGTATGTGGTTTTGATCATTCAGTTTGGGTCAAAGAATTATCTAGATCCATATCATCTGTCTGACAAAAGAGAAAATTCACATTTTCCCAGACATGTCTGAGTGAAACACAATGGACTGGAATCTATCAATTCAGCTAGATAAGATGGTCTAGGTGGGGTAAATTTCTGGCAGAGGTCAGTAATGTCCTTCAGAGGCTGGACTTCGAACAAGGAAATAGAATAGGGAAAAAACCTGGATCTCTCCCATAATTGGTTATTAATAATAATTTCTTTCACCAACAAAATCGGGGGTGAAGCAAGGATGCCTATTATTGCCTCTATTATTCAATATTGTCCTAGAACTGCTAGCTATAGCAATAAGACAAAAAAAAGCAGCTGAAGGAATTAGAATAAGCAGTCAGGAAGTAGAATTATCACTCTTTGCAGATGATATGATGGGATACTTAGAAATCCTAGAGAATCAACTGAAAACTAGTTGAAGTAATTAACAACTCAGCAAAGTTGCAGGATATAAAATAAACCCATATAAAGCATCGGAATTTCTATATATTGCCAACAAAGTCCAGTCGGAAGAGATAGAGAAATTTCATTAAAAATAACTGCAGACAATATAAAATTCTTGGAAAAACCAGGAACTATATGAACACAATTACAAAACACTTTCCACACAAATTAAGTCAGATCTGAACAACTGGAAAAGTATTAATTGCTCATGAGTAGGCTAAGCCAGTATAACCACAACTCCAATGGTCTGGCCACATTGTTTGAATGACAAATGTATGTTTACCTAGAAAACTATTTTATGAAGAACTCAAGGCAGGCACTCACATGGTGGTCAGAAGAAGCAATAGAAGGACACTCTCAAGATATTTCTGAAGAACTTCAGGTGTTGTGTTTTGTCAAAAGCTTTTTCTGCATCTAATGAAATAATTATGTGTTTTTTGTTGTTTTCGTTATTGGTGTGGTCAGTTATACTTACAGTTTTTCTAATATTGAATCAGTCCTGTATTACCGATATAAACCCAGCTTGATTATAGCATGTGATTTTTGTGATGTATTGTTGTATTGTACTTGCTAGTATTTTGTTTGTAATTTTTGCACCAATATCCATTAGGGAAATTGGTCTATAGTTTCCTTTTTCTGTTTTAGGTCTTCCTGATTTAGGTATTAATACAATATTTGTTCATGGAAGGAATTCAGTGTAGGATTCTTTGCCTGTTTTTTCAAATCTTTTAATGTAGTATTGGAATTAATTGATTTTTAAATATTTTGCAGAATTGCTTGTAACTTTATGGTTAGATTTACTTAACGTCTGATGGGGATAAATTGAGGATTCACCACTATTACAGTTTTACTGTTATTTCTTTCTGTAACTCGTTTAACTTTTCCTTCAAGAATGTGGATGCTATGCCATTTGGTACAAATATGTTCAATATTGATATTAATTTATTTTCAATAGTATCTTTGGGTAAAATGTAGTTTCTTTGATTATCTCTTTTAATTGGACATGTACCCAATCTGCATTTCTCTTTGAGCTTTTGGTTGTTCCCTATCCACAGCCCAAGCCAAGGGACAAGGAACTTCCCTAACATATTGTTCTGGGACTTGTTTCAACTCAGACCCACCTTGGGGAACTGTTCCTTAAAAAACAGTTCTTGAGGTAAACATCCAGGGAGTTGGCCAGTTCCTGGGTATTGACCTGAGACATTTTTGACATAACAAAGATTGTTCTTGAGGTTGGAGAGTTTCGGCCAAAACTCTCAGGTCCTTAAGATCAATCACCTGTTCCTTGGCTCCCTGCTTTCTTTGTGTAAGGATGATAAAAAGGGTCTTTCTTGGGAAAGTGACTTTGGGAGTCTCCCTCGGAGAGGACACTCTACCGTAGGGACTTTCCCAACCGAGACCCTGACGGCTGTGATGCAGGACTTCCCCAGCCAGATGTTCAGGAATTGGTGCTTCCTCGGATTGGTGATGTATTTCTTCTTCTTTATCTCCCTATCTTTCTGTCAATAGTCTTTGCTTCTAAGATTGTATAATCATATGTAATCATCTTTATATGGATGTGTATTTATGATTATTATCATTATTAAATCATTTACAAGTTAGGAAAAGTGTGAACGTATCTTTGTGGGTACAGATCCAAACCTGTGAAACAAATTATAAGTGCTGTGCAGCTCATAACACCTTACTGTTATAGTTGTAGATGTTTCCAAGTCATTGTTTTCTTCGAGTTTGTCTTGAGCATTCCTTTCAACATGGTCAAGTTCTTTTTTTTTGTTGTTTGCTCATTTTTCCCAGTCTTATTTCTTGACTTTGGGTTTTATGTTACAGTTGGGCTCTGCTCACCTCTAGTGGGAATGATTGGCCTGAGCCTCTGTCTTTTTTGTCCTTCTGGAGGCAGTTAGGTGGCTCAGTGGATAGAACTCTGGGCCTAGAGTCAGGAGGACCTGAGTTCAAAATTGGCCTTAGACACTTACTAGCTCTGTGACCTTGGGCAAGTTAACTTAATCTCTGTTTGTCTTAATCCGTTGGAGAAGGAAATGGCAAACCACGCCAGTATCATCTTGCCAAGAAAGTTTCATTGACAGTATTGATGTGTTATGGTCCTTGGGGTCACAAAGAGTCTGACAAGACTGAACCACTGCTGTTTTCACATCATGATCTGGGGGCTCTGTAGGTTTTGGGTGTTTCCCATGTGGTATGATCCAGGAAGAGGTCTGTGGTCACTGCCCTCCTCTCCTGTGCTCTGATTCTTTTACACTTATGGACCCTGCTCCCTCATGATTGTGACTACTCCTTTTCACTCTGCAACTGCTATCTGGTACTGGGTAATGAGCAACAGAGCTGCTAAATGGCACTTGTTTCCTCCTAGTACTAGTACAGGGGTCCAGCTATTTAGTTCCCTTACCACCCCTGCGCTCTGGGTAGCTCCAAGTGCCATCATATACTGGTGCTATTCTTTTCATTTGCTGTGCTCTTGGCCAGCCGATGCCTTAGTGTCTACAAACCTCTCTTTCTGTCTTCCTAATCTGCCCTGGACTGGAAAAATGTCTTACAGTGACTTTTTGTTGGCTTTTCTGATCAGAATTCAGTCTGGCACACTCTTCTTAGGTTGTCGTGGGGGAGCTAAGGCAAAAATACTACCTCTCGCTCTGTCGTTTGACTGGGCCTCCCCATATTGTATTGACAGTCAATTCTGAGCTGCTGTTTGGTCTTTTAACATCTCAGGGTGCTGTTATTTCTCCATTGCCCTGCGAGAATATCCAAAATAGCAGTTATCTTGCTAGAGACAGATAAAATTCAGCCAAACTCACTCTCTTGTCATTCCTCATACATATTAGTCCATCTCCAGTTAATCAACAGACACTTATTAAGCAGGCACTGAAATTACAAATATGAAGAATGAAACAATCCCTACTCAATAATAATAATAGTAGCTCGCATTTATATAGTACTTTAAAGTTTACAAAGCACTTTACTGAGGTCATCTCATTTGATCATCACAAGAATCCTGTGAAGTAAGTTCTATTATTATCCTCATTTTATAATTGAGGAAATTGAGGTTTAGAGGGGTTGTATGACTTGTCTAAGTTCACATAGCTAGGAAGTGACCCAGGCCAGATTCCAACTCAGGACCTACTGACTCCAAGTCAAGCACTCTATCTACTTAACCACCTAGCTGCCACATTCTGAGAATCTCCATGCCTTGGCACCACTTGTCTTCACTATGGGATGCAACCCCATAAATTTGGCAGCAGTGAAAGGTCTCTAAACATGCAACGACCAAAAATTAATTCAAAATAAAAAATGTAATGAGTCCGAGGTATTTCTGACAGCACTTGCCTGTGTTGCATTGGGCGACTTCCCTGCGGCCTTGGTTACGAACACAAAGCATGTACACTTTGCGCTACTCATGTTGTAGAAAGGTGAAAAGGGGTTGGCAGGGGAAAAAATTTAAGAAGCCCTGCTCTATGCCCATAATGTATTCCCTCCTTTCTTTCACCTCTTAGAAGTTTCTTTTAAAACTCCGTTGAAAGACAACATTCTACATGAAGCCTTTCCTGATTCCATTATCTGCTATAGCCTTTGCCCCCAAATTACTATCTCTTTGTAACCCTGTCTATTTGTATGTACTGTATTTATTTGTTACTTGTGTTCATTTTATATCTTCCTGTTAAATGTAACCTCCTTGAGGGCAGGGACTTTCATTATTTTTGTCTTTGTATCCTAGAGCTTTGCACAATGTTTAGCACATAGTAGATGCTTAATACTTATTTATTGATTCACACTGCCAAGCTGGAAAGGTGAAAGGTATAGACCCCAGTATGGGCTATCATCCAAGGAATAGCTTGGTTAAGTTTAAAGAAGTCTGTCACCTGATGATGAATATTTGGGCCAAAGCCATTCGTGAAAACCATCTACTAAGTAAAGGGATTGCTATCTGCATCAACAGAAAAAGTTCACACACAGACAAAATCATTGTTCTGTTGAAGTGAAGTAGGCAACATTTTCACTAAACATGCAAAATCCAAGGCTTCAGGTATCTGATTTCTTTTTTTTAAAATGGTGTTTTAAATGCAGCAAAAACTCATAAATCTGATCACATAGCCATTTCATTTTCTCAATCTAGGGAGTAGTTTTGTTTTTGTTTTTGTTTTTGTTGTTTTTTTTTTTGGCAAGGCAGTTGGGGTTAAGTGACTTACCTAGGGACATACAGCTAGTAAGTGTCAAGTGTCTTGTCTGAGACTGGATTTGAACTCAGTACCCTCTGACTCAAGGGTCGGGGCTCCATCCACTGCACTACCTAGCTGCCCCAGGGACTAGTTTTATAGGTCTATCTCTAAGCCTAGCTAGTCAGGCATGAAATTGATAAGTAGGAGTATAGTAAGTGGTCCATAGTTCATTTTTGGCTATGTTGAGGTTTAGAGTTGGGAGAGCTGGTTGAGGGATGAAAGAATTCACTGAGACCTTCTCTGTAACCATTGGGAGCTTTATTGATGCAAAAGCAGTGGACTAGCCCTGGAAGGAGGACTCGCAACTTACAGAGGGATAGGGGCCTGTTTTATCTTAGAAGATAAGGGGGAATTGTCATGACACAGGATGAGGAAGAGGGATGACAGGATAGGCCACCCAGGATAAGGAAGACAGGGTGAGAGAATAAGGAATTTCTAATGGTCCAGGATAGGGGGGGCGAGTTTTATGGTATCTCAAGATAAGGGGAAGAGACTCTAGGATGCCCTCAAGCTCAGAAGGAACCTCACAAGGTACTGGAAAAACAACCTTTTTTTTTTTTTTTAAAGCTTTTAGGGAACTGTTTGTATCCATATCATTTCCCCACTCAACCACTAGGCAGAAGAAATCTTTTGGGAAAAGGGGCAAAGGTCATTGTTTTCAATAGCTGCTTCCTGCTAAACAGGGGCAAAGAGTCCATTTCAAGGGCCCAGAATAGGTTGAGGAGGGGTGGTCAGTGTGGGGGTACAGAATGTGGTGCCAGCTGAGTCCAGGGTGGAGAGAGGCAAACATTCAGGGACACCAAGGGCAAGGGTTGATATCCTAAGAGTTGAAAGTAGAATTTCTGCAGGGGAGAAGACACAAAGTGGACCAGGAGGTTAAACAAGCATGGACCAAATATAAGAGCAAGTAAAATGATTAATAATGGGGTCAGAACGGGGGAAAGAAGGGAAGAAACCATAAACTCCAGGAGGAGGTAGGGGGAGATATCAGGCTGGAGTGAATGTCTTGCAGCCAAGAGGCTGCCTGTAGTATCCTTTGATACTTTGCAGAGTTCTAACACTCAAAGGATAAGTTCCATACAGGGCTTTCAGGAAATAGTGGGAGAGCTAAGGGGAGCAAGCCCAAAGCCTGGGAATGATGGTGACACACCCAGCAATCATGTACTCTGCCCTGCCCCACAGAGTTCCCTATTTGAATTAAAGCATTTGACTCCCAGTCCTGGGGAAGCAGGCCTAACCCTAGGCACAGGGTGGGAATCAGGACTAGGTGGACTAGGGACACAAATCTGACAAAAAAAGTTTCAATATGCAGGGCCCAAATAGAAGGAGCATTAAAAGGGATGTCAGAATAGAGGAAAACAAAGAAAGAAACCAAGAGCCCCGTGAAGCTATTATTTGCTTTTGACATGCAGGATTATTTGATCTTTTTATTTCCTCAAAAGTTTCCACTCTGATTCCAATTCTTTTAGGAGGACCAGATGCTGTTGAGGATCCAACTTTATACATGTAAATATAAGTAACACTTTTGCAGGTAGAAGCTTTTCACCTTTGAGTTCAATAGTTATAAAATGAAAGAAGTGGGAGGATATGTGATTAATTCCAAAACAGTGCATATCAATAGATTGCTTATATAAAACATGTTTGTACCACAGGACACACAGAATAAACAGGTATCTTTTTCCACAATAGTAGTACACTTTAAATGGAATTGACTTTTCCATTAATGCAAAAATATTCTATAAATTATCTCCCTCTAAGAAAATTGATTGCACTGAAATTCTTTCCCCTAAACTGAAGACATTTCTGATTTAGTTTCAGTAATTGATAGAATAATAGCTAGGCCCCTCAATTATTCTTTTTTTTTTAAACAAAACTTTATTGGTAATAGTTTTCAAATGTGTTTACAACAAAGTGCACTGTTAAAGAAGAAGTCATTTCAGTGGAACAAATTTCTTTGAATCACACAGGCTGAAACTCCCAGGTACTACCCCCTACCCCCAAACCCACTGTACCTCAGCCCCATGAACCCCTTCAGTTATGGGGGAAAATTGAGAGAGGGCCAAAAAAGAGAAAAGGGGTGGAGAGAAGTGGGCTGTTCTACCTCTGCTACTTCCTGGGGGGATGGGGAATTATGATAATTCAGATGTCTCCCAAGGGGTCAATGAGTAGCTGTCAGACAAGCCAGATGGAGCGTGCTTCTAGGGATGAGGGATAGTAGTGAGGCTATCAGGTGAA